ATATATATATATATAGGTAACATTTATAGAAGTTTTCTGGACATCTGACCACATATATAGGTAACATTTATAGAAGTTTATGCCACATGGCACCTATAGCTTCTATATGTCCAACATCTAACTCGACCCCCTTACTTCTTACTTCTTGTCGAAACTGCCTCTGTAACCTTCCAACCTCGGACTGTAGCAGTTTGATTTTACTGTGTTGTTGTTTAAGTTTGTCGATCAGGGCTTTCCTGTTCATATTTCTGTGTCGAAATTTTTTCTGCATGTAATTTGGCGTTGGGCTGGTTTTGAGTATACGTGATTTCTCCTCTTGCCGTAACCTCCGGTCCCTTAAATTCCGTCGCACTTTTGAACAGGGTTGACACCTCGCACCTTGTACCAACAATTTACACAGTGTACTACGAATTGTTGAAGTGTAATGTAAATTACCTTTCACCGCACTCAAGTCTCCTTCTCTATAGGCGGAAGTGTCTCCAGACATATCTTGTTTAGCACGTCCAATGCCAGCCAGATTTTGAAAGCACTCATCGGGACTCCCAACACAAACAGAAAAACTCAGTAGTTTCTTCACAATAGCGCTTATTTTCAATGGCGTATCAAACTTTGACGGTAATCCCATCCAAAAGTCATGATCGTGACATATTTCGATTCTATGAACAAAAAGTTTAGCACTTAGATCCTTGTCAATTGTGAGAGATAGTTTCACAGTTGGTTGACTTACATCATCATCAGTAGGGTACAGTTCAATAATTTGTATCAGTTTTGAATTGGAGTTTAATTGATAAGGAAACATTACAACATTTGAGATGTTGGATTTTAGATGGTCATAAATTGGCACTGGATCCGGACCTATCTCACATTCTGGGGAATTCAACTCCGGTTCCTTTTCCAAGTCAGTCTCGCACTGTGGTATAATATCACTCTCATCTACGGTCACAATTGGCTCGACACAGGCGCTATCACTGTCATTGTCTGTGATAATAGCACTTGGTAACATACACATATCAATCGGCTTAATACACTTTGTATCGATAGCACTGTCATTGTCTGTGAAAATAGCACTTGGTAACATACACATATCAATCGGCTCAATACACTTTGTATCGATATCACTGTCATTGTCTGTGATAATAGCACTTGTCAACTCAGCACACGCTGTATTACTGTCATTATCAGAGATTGTGACTATATTGTCAATCAGTTCAACACTAATATCACTCTCATTGGCTGTGATGGTAGAAAGTGTTACACCTTTTTCGTCCTGATTATACAACACTCCCTCATCCAGGAATCCAGGTGTGGTACTGACCAGTCTACATGGTTGTTTCTGCATTCCAATACATTTTGCACTTGCAGCATACGTATGGAGATTATCCGAAGACAAACTATCTTCCTTTGTTGATATTTTGGTCGATTTCGATTTCGATTTCTTTCGAGGTCCAATGGATTTTCTTCTAGATGTTTTCGTCATGATTGCTAAAAAAACAGGAACAAATTATTCAAATATTATTCTGATATTACACCAAGAAAATACTATGTAATGTTAACGGAGCTCCAGATACCTACTGGTATCTCGATAAATTCACTTTTATGTTTTGAGAACTTAGGAACGACTTAACTCATTCACCCCTGAACACACATTTGAACTCTTCCAACTCATAGGTTTGAATAGTTCATTATGAAATTTCAGGGGTGAATGGGTTAAGAACTTTATTTCTCATGACATTTCACTGCAATTGAGAAGTTGTTTTTTCTCAAACTAGAATGTGTGCGTGCGCGAACTTGAGAAAAGAAATGACGCCACAATCTGAAATAACGTCATTGCGATTTTACTTCCGGTGTAAGGACGTCCATGTGCGAGTCATGTTGGACATTACAGACCCGTACACGTTCGCTGTTCCACTTTCAGCGTACCGTTTGCGTAGCATTTCCATACCGTTTGCATAGCACTTGCGGATCATTTCCGTAGTAATCTGTACCATTACCGTAGCACTTGCGTAGCGTTTCCGTAGCACTTGCGTCTACATATTTCCATTTAGAAAGCGTTTGTGAAACGTTCGGTCGAAAATTTTACGGAATATATATTTGTCGAAACAAATTATTGATAAAAAAAATCATTATAAACCGTATTACGTTAAAATTTATTTCAACTGTTATAATAGTCTGAAGAAAAAACACAAAAATGTTGGTTTACACATACATGGACGTAACAGCCCTCCTCCTATGGGCCTGCTGTGTGTTCCCAACACCAGCAGCTCAGGGGTAATTTAAATAACAGGCATGCAGCTGGCCATGTGGTATAATGACCTGTCCATTGTTAAAGGTATAAATAACTTTAGTGGCCGTAATAAAGGTTGTTATGGCAACATGACCACCCGCTGACAGATACATTTCTTTCAATATGATATCTATACCTGAGAATCTAGGCAGTGATCATGCATTGACCATTCACCTGTGGTCAAATTGGATTCTGATGTGCTGTACCTGATCAAGGTCACATTCTGTGATTTCAAGGCAATTAAGTCCATGCCAATTAATCCAGTTCATTGTCTATCCGCCACGTACAGCTAGTGCTGTATACAGGTAAATCAGATTAAGGTAAAAACCTACAGGTAAGATACTTTGGCTGTCCCTCGGTCAGGAAATGACAGCCCCAGGCACAATTTCATTTTACAACAGTGCCTTTGCCAAGGTAAACTAATATTTTACCTTTTGTCGTCTGCTGGATTACCGAACTACTCGGTAGTGAAACAATGTAAAACAAATCAATCAATCTAATATTTTACTTGGAATTCCTAATTTAATGCAAAAATAGTTTGTCCCTTATAAGGATTTTGTACTTCTCACATAGATGTTGTTTTTTTTTTTTTTTTTTTAAATAATCTATCATGAGTTCTGTCATCAGCGAGCAAGGTTGAATACCAACCCTAATATGGAACAAACTTTTCAATATCAGTAATCATTAAAATAAATCATTATGAAGATAACTTTATTGTCATCATTGTTATCATGTGAAATCATGGAAATCTGTTTTGTATCAACGAGGGTTAAAACTGAGTTCCTGAAAAAATAGTGTTCTTCCTCGTGGTCTATAAGCAGATAGGTATATATTACAATACGTCTCTCTCTCTATAGTAAGTTTGTTAACAGGGGTGCCCTTTCTGTGCGTGGTAATCATAAAGGTGTCAACAAGAAGAAGCCTGTCCCGCTTTGTAAATATTTAATAAACATTTGACATAGAACATAAGGAAACGGACCTAAACGCTAAATCATAACATATTTTTTTTAAAGTCAAGAAATTTCAGGTTTTTATCTGAAAAAGTGCAGAAATCCATGAAATGTTTTCAGAGTAGTAGGCTCTACTACCCATGATACATGTATGATTGAGGTTTGGTTGGTCTAGCTCTTATACTTTGTCAGAAAGAGCCTAATATGCAAGAGCTAAACGCAAAACCTTAACGTTGGTTTTTTTTCCAAGTCCAGAAATTTGAGTTTTAGCAAAAAAATGCTGAACTAATATTTTACCTTTTGTCGTCTGCTGGATAATCGAACTACACCTATGACCCAAGTTTGGTTGCTCTAGCATTTATATTTTGTCAGAAACAGCCTATAATGTAAGAGCAAAACGCAAAACCATCATGTTGAGTTTTTTCTTCTCCAAGTCCAGAAATTTGAGGTTTTTACCAAAAAAATGCAGAAATCAATGAAACGTTTTTAGTGCAGTAGGCGCCACTACCCATGCTACATCTATGATCGAGGTTTTGTTGGTGTAGCTTTGTCAGAAACAGAGCTAAACGCAAAACCTTAAATTTGTTGCCGCCGCTGTCGGAAAAGCAGCGCCTATGTGTCTTTCCGACATCCGTCGTAGGCTAGTGTACCTATGAACATACGTGGTTCAATGAAAAAGATAATTGACCCTTTTCAGCTGTCCAATTAGAACCCCTTAGCAAGTTACATAGTGGACAGTACATATCAGAGGCTGGGATTAACCTGGCCAAGCGTATATTAGGGAATATTACATTAACGACAACCAGATTTATTAATTAATTAAAAGAAAGGTGTAAATGCTAATTGCAGTTAATGCAAGTAAATTGTTTTTCTACAAGTGTACTTTGGTACATGTAGATCTACAATGTACTGATGATCCACTGCATGTTTATGGAAATGACGATCAGAGAGATTCGCGTCAGTTTCTATTTTCATGCAATGTGGATTTATAATACAATCAACCAGTATCTTTTTAAAAGTATTGTTTGCATCTAACGTTCAACAATTTTACAACACTTTAATTAAAATACCATCTAGAAATTTTCTAGATTTATATCTGAAAGGAATGTGTTGTCGGCCTGAAAGTACTGCTGTACAATCGCATGCTGATTGTAAGTAGAGACCGACATTTACCAAACCAGACTGATTTTTACATGTAAAGAGTATAAGTACATTTACACAACTGGCCGGGCAGTCTTTGTTGAATAAGTTTTCAAGCCCAAGAAAATATATTTTTTATTTGTCAGATGTTCCCCGTTGCCGTGCAAGACTTTTGGAGACGTAAAAAGTCCGGGGGGGGGGGGGGGGGGGGGGGTGGGGGGGGGGGGGGGGGGATCGTTGAATGTCCTGGACCCTATCATCCTGACCCGATGAAAAATATAATATATTGGGCAGCGATTTGGAAGTTTATATTTGTTAAGGACTGAGTCTTTATTGCGTATCATGTAACTTGACATAATCTCAGTCGATACTCGTCATCTTTCTCAAACAACATTAATCAGTTTTTTCAAGTTACCAAAAACTAACTATCACAACTAAGAAAAGTCACATATTTCAATGTTAATCATTGTTACACACACATTTGGAGCTGTTCGTATCAGTATGGTTGGTGTAACATAAACATACACAATTTTACATTTAAACACTTAAGACTATTTGTTAATTAGTTAAATGTTCAAAGGTGGCGAAACTGCCTGCGCCTTTGAGCAAAACTATGGAAGGCCTGATGACGTCACAAATGTTAATGCGTGACATCATTCAGGTGTGTTTACAACAATGTTTATTTATAGTGTTGTAGAATTGTAATAAATGCAATCAGAAATCTTTTCCGACACATGTTTATTTGCAGAGAAAACACAACAACATCCTTTCCTCACAAAACTGAAGAGCTACAATCTTACTTTTCTTATAATATGGGAGTTATCTCCCTTTTCCCACATCCTTGACGCATATATATATATATTACAATAGGCATTTCAGTCGAATCTTCTTCTGTATTAGTGCTCGTCGGCATTTTGATACATGCCTATTTGGTCGAATTATTAACAGAAACCCTTACTATTGTGACCAATTTGCCTTCACTGACGTTACTTTCGGAATACTGATTTACGTTCCAGTGAAAAATAATGCTGATATTTACACTTTTTGACACAAAAATACCACAAGTTAAAATATATTATTTGCAATTAAAATGGGTTAGTCCGTTATAACAAATATTCAGCTTTCTATTGCTGCTTATTTAAAAAAGATCGGTCAAATACTTTTGGATTGAGGTGGTGCTCACATACATGTGGGTTTTTTTTTATCCCGCAATACTCTGAACCACGCGTTACATGGCGTTTAAAAATAGAAAAGTATACCCCAAAAACGAGACATCAATTACTATGATACCACAGATTATATCAGTTATAAGTAATACAATCAGCTTATAACAATGGGATAAACAGAAGACGTAAGAACACTTACCGAGATTGGTTTGTTTTCACACAAACTTCTTCATCTAACGAAGGGGTATCGACGCCATCTTGCTTTGTCAAAATCGCCCTGGAATCAGGGGGAGGTAAGTCTAGATTGACGTGTCATAAAATTGGTAAGGCAAAGATGGAGTCGCTAATCCCCTCCATTATACGTCCCTGTATGAATCAATAAAATTCCGAGGGCCAATGCAACACGTTTAGGACAACGAAAAGAAAATATAGGTGACAAAAAATAAAGATCTTGCCGACTTATTCTACCAAAAAAATATAAAGATACAAATAAAGAAACAACAAGAGTACCCGGGGCGGAACAATATACGCCCATCGAATGCCATATAGTGTTATATACTTTCTAACATTGAAATAAGATCTGTATCATTCAAAGAGTGGTTAGTTGACATGCTATAAAAATGTAGGAGAAAATCTCCGGATAAAACATCTGAATTCTGAAATGAACAAAGGGCCATAACTTTTGGAAAAAATGTCGAATCAAAATTCTTTTATGGGAGACACAATTTCATATCATGATTATACTGTATACCAAGTTTCAAAGAGATCGATCGAAAAATGTAGGAGGAGATTTCCGGACAAACAAAAGTTAACGCCGGACATACGGACGGACGGACGGACAACACCATACCATAATACTCCCGTCAAATTTGACTGGCTTATAAAAAGAGAGACAACCCTTACATTTGTACCAATAATAATAATAAATTCCAAAAAGTCATATATACAATTCACAACATACAATATAGCACTTTTTGTATAAAATATAATACAGTAGGCATTACTAACCAATAAAATTACTTCAAATGTAATAACCAATATAAAACCAAAATTGCACATTGTGTATGAATAACATTATTACAAACTATGTACTTTACTGTGTCATATCAAAAATGTCACAATGAACAACAATAACAAAGTTCCACATACTTTACACAACAATAATAAATGTCTACATACTGTACAAATAACATACTATGTTGTCATATAAAAAAATAACACTATACAACAATAATAAACTTTTACATTCTGATCAAAACAATAATTAACTTTCAAATTATGTACAGATAAACACAAACCATATTGTAATATAAAAAAATATCACACTATATAGCAATAATAAACTCTGTCATTATATACAGATAACAACATATATTGTGGTTTAACGAATATCACACTATAATAAACTTTTACATTATGTACAAATAACATCATACAAATTTGTGGTATAAAAATATTACATTGTAAAAATAACGCTGTTGTATGTAACATAAAAAAAATGAACAACCTTTCTAGTCCAGGAATTCATATAACACCGCGAGTTCAACCACTAGATTCTATGCAGACATTATAGAAAACCTTAACTAGATTCTATGTGGACATTATAGAAAACCTTAACTAGATTCTATGTGGACATTAGAGAAAACCTTAACTAGATTCTATGTGGACATTAGAGAAAACCTTAACTAGATTCTATGTGGACATTAGAGAAAACCTTAACTAGATTCTATGTGGACATTAGAGAAAACCTTAACTAGATTCTATGTGGACATTAGAGAAAACCTTAACTAGATTCTATGTGGACATTAGAGAAAACCTTAACTAGATTCTATGTGGACATTAGAGAAAACCTTAACTAGATTCTATGTGGACATTAGAGAAAACCTTAACTAGATTCTATGTGGACATTAGAGAAAACCTTAACTAGATTCTATGTGGACATTAGAGAAAACCTTAACTAGATTCTATGTGGACATTAGAGAAAACCTTAACTAGATTCTATGTGGACATTAGAGAAAACCTTAACTAGATTCTATGTGGACATTAGAGAAAACCTTAACTAGATTCTATGTGGACATTAGAGAAAACCTTAACTAGATTCTATGTGGACATTAGAGAAAACCTTAACTAGATTCTATGTGGACATTAGAGAAAACCTTAACTAGATTCTATGTGGACATTAGAGAAAACCTTAACTAGATTCTATGTGGACATTAGAGAAAACCTTAACTAGATTCTATGTGGACATTAGAGAAAACCTTAACTAGATTCTATGTGGACATTAGAGAAAACCTTAACTAGATTCTATGTGGACATTAGAGAAAACCTTAACTAGATTCTATGTGGACATTAGAGAAAACCTTAACTAGATTCTATGTGGACATTAGAGAAAACCTTAACTAGATTCTATGTGGACATTAGAGAAAACCTTAACTAGATTCTATGTGGACATTAGAGAAAACCTTAACTAGATTCTATGTGGACATTAGAGAAAACCTTAACTAGATTCTATGTGGACATTAGAGAAAACCTTAACTAGATTCTATGTGGACATTAGAGAAAACCTTAACTAGATTCTATGTGGACATTAGAGAAAACCTTAACTAGATTCTATGTGGACATTAGAGAAAACCTTAACTAGATTCTATGTGGACATTAGAGAAAACCTTAACTAGATTCTATGTGGACATTAGAGAAAACCTTAACTAGATTCTATGTGGACATTAGAGAAAACCTTAACTAGATTCTATGTGGACATTAGAGAAAACCTTAACTAGATTCTATGTGGACATTAGAGAAAACCTTAACTAGATTCTATGTGGACATTAGAGAAAACCTTAACTAGATTCTATGTGGACATTAGAGAAAACCTTAACTAGATTCTATGTGGACATTAGAGAAAACCTTAACTAGATTCTATGTGGACATTAGAGAAAACCTTAACTAGATTCTATGTGGACATTAGAGAAAACCTTAACTAGATTCTATGTGGACATTAGAGAAAACCTTAACTAGATTCTATGTGGACATTAGAGAAAACCTTAACTAGATTCTATGTGGACATTAGAGAAAACCTTAACTAGATTCTATGTGGACATTAGAGAAAACCTTAACTAGATTCTATGTGGACATTAGAGAAAACCTTAACTAGATTCTATGTGGACATTAGAGAAAACCTTAACTAGATTCTATGTGGACATTAGAGAAAACCTTAACTAGATTCTATGTGGACATTAGAGAAAACCTTAACTAGATTCTATGTGGACATTAGAGAAAACCTTAACTAGATTCTATGTGGACATTAGAGAAAACCTTAACTAGATTCTATGCGGACATTAGAGAAAACCTTAACTAGATTATATGTGGACATTAGAGAAAATGTTTCCCTTTGACAGGACTCCAACATCAATCAACTACATTATTATTCTCCAAACTCAGATGTACTAGAATCAAATTCTCTTCAGTGTAAATTTCAAAACCCAGGAGTCATTCATTTTCCCTTGAGGATGGGGTAAAGTTTACTATATTTTTTTTGTAGGGAAATAACACTTCCGGGTTTATTTTATCCATTTTCAGCAGGAAATCATTCATAATTCGTGGGAATAATTGTGATTAGATGGCAATTAGATAGTACCAGAAAATGAGATCCTGCCAAGCCTCTGTGGCCAGATGGGCAGGGCCCAAAGGGGAATATGGCTAGGGTATCAAAGATCTTCTTTTCCAGACTCGGACATGTATACTAGCATAAAATTCTCTTTTTGGATGGAAAATTCATCAGGGGCTTTCTCTAAAGTGTAAATTTCAATACCCCCGGGTCATCCATTTTCCCTTGGGGATGAGTTAAAATTAAAATTAAAGTTTACTATATTGCTTTATAGGAAAATAACACTTTCAGGTATATTTTGTCCTTTTTCAGCAGGAAATCATTCTTGCTGACGGCAATAATATAGTATCAGCAAATTATATCCAGCCTCACCCGAGGGGCAGGAGAGGCGAGGACAAATTGGTGAAATCGTTAAAGTCTCAAAAATCTTCTGAAATGAAATATTTACTTTGGAACTTTATTTAAATTGTAAATTTTATTTTAAAACCCTGGATCATCTGCACTCACTTTGGGAGAGGGTACATTTTATAGTTTATGCGAAGGGATATAACTCTTTTGACCATTTTTAGCAGGACATAATTCAAACATGTTTGGAATAAATGTGATAAGATGGCAATAACATGAATGAACAAATAATATCCTGCCTCACCCCAGGGGCTGAATGCATAAAGTCTGGTGTCAGTAAGGTAACGGGAAAATGACAAATATTTCAAAATATTCTCTACACTCAGTTGTACTATATCTAAAAGCCTAAGAAAGTCAGATGATAACCTACTCCAGGGTTGATCAAAGAGGAAAATTGGCTTAATATTGAGGTTTCTCTTGTGAAACCAATTTCTATTATAAATACTTACCACAGTCATTATAATGCATATTCCAACCTTACTTGGCTCTTTACATACGTAAATAAAGATTTTTTCCCCCATGGGGAACCCCTGGAAAACCCACCAATCAGACGGCAGTATTCACGCACGTGATCAGACACGAAGCCATGCTTCCCACTTCATAAATCCAAAGCCCAAAAAAGTGAGAGCCAAGGAGGCAAGGGGAGGCTGGGAGGGAACTCACCTAATGACTGTGGTAAATATTTATAATATAAATTGGTTTCACAAGAGAAACCTCAATTCTATTTCAAAATACGGTACCACAGTCATTATAATGCGAATTCGACTTACCGCAGTGGTGTCTCCGTGGAGCGATGAAGGGTTCCAACAATAGGACCCATACCCCCGGAGGAAAAATTCAAAATACCTTTTCTTTTGTGACACAGAGCCAGATTACGACCAGCGTTCCGGATCACGTGGAGAAGACATAATGAGGCTTATGCAAAAGAAGAGGGAGGACAGACAACGGACTCGGCAGCCACAAGAGGGCCCAAAGAATACAACCCGTCAGACTGTCCCGACAAACATCGGAGATAGAACTCCGTAAACGTAGAATGACCCCTCCAAACAGCAGCTGTCATGACATCAGCATAAGAAGAACCATTAAATAAGGCCCACGAAGTAGCTAAAGCGCGAACCTCATGAGCCCTAACCCCTGAAACCCGCAAGGACTGATCCCCTACCGACTCATACGCAGCTCGAACAGTCTGAACAATCCAGCGTGAGATGGTCGCCGCGGGCTGGAGAGACTGGAACAGCCGAGACGATGCTTCTCAATGTAGAAGTCCCTAATGAGAGCAGACAATGAAGCGTCCGAGCCCACAGACTTGCT